TTGAATAGCTGGTCTTTCGGGGTAGGTAAATAACGGTTAGTTGTAGGGTGGTTCTAAAGCATGACTTGGGTAGTGTAAGAGAAATGCATATAGATATACTAACTGTCTTGTCACTGCATATTATACCTGCAACTTGATTTTTATCGCATTGAGTTATGTGAACTCACTTTTTGTAGTTTTCCAGATGAAGTAGGGATGGAGTCGGGATCTGAGTTGCTGGGTACGAAGCCTAGTCTTTAGCGCCATAGGGCCAAGGTCTCCTTGTGGCGGGTTACCGCCTGTAAAAGTTTATATTAGTATGGATGTTGACTTGCTGGAAGGGTATGGTATGGGGTGTCATTGATGTATAGGTAGAACTACAAGTTTACCTTGAGTTAGAACAATGAACTGTGGACAAGTTTTGTTTATGGGGAATGCTATTGGTATGAAATTGGCGTGTTGGGTCATAGGATTGTTGATCGTATGCCGTTGAAAAAAAAAATAGGGCGTTACATATATGAAATTTCATTTCAAAATAAATTGTCAAGACGGAAAAAGGTAATTTATTAAACATTTTTCAACTTAATTTTAATATAAAAATTTGTAAAAACATTTTTTTGATTTAATGTGATTGAACATTTCTTTTGTTTATATACTTAATTCTTTTTGTTATTAATTAATTACTTTTATATTGTAAATTTTGATATGACAATCATCTAATAGTAGTGAAAAAACTTAATTTTGGGTTAAATAGTTATTCTTTATGCCTTATTTTATTTGAAAAAATAATTTATCAGTAAAATAAATATAACAATTGATTAACAATTATAATATTGATATTAACTTTTAAATTGCATTTATAACAACAACAAAAAGTTATTGAACTACAGTATCTATAAAGCTGAAGTTTAGATGCCCTAATAATTTACTTGTTAAACTCTTTCTCAAATTCTCACGGAGATCTTAATCGTCTCCCTTTAAGTTAATGAGAGCTTTATTTAGAACGTTAAATGTTTTTGAGTTCTCTTTTTTTATTATCAGCAACTCTCTGAATAATGTCAAGGATAAAAAAAAAAAAACTCTCTTTCCGCAATCCCAATTAAGCTTTCCTGAAAGTAGTGAATCATCAATTTGAATTAAAGGCATATATATAAACTATTTAACTTTTAAGATGAACATTCAAACAGTTTGTCTCGTATATTTTGAGAATTCAAGTATTTTAAACTTTTTTAAAAAATTTAACTGTTACCAGTAATGAAGTTGAAAAATTTGTCAACTCTTATACATTTATTCTTTGTAAAAATTTAATTTTCTCATTCAAGTACTATATTTATTTCAATACTTCTATGTTTTTTTCATCGATGTTTCTAACATTACCAAGTTTACACTTAAACAATGGGTTGAGTTTCAACTTGAGCATCTTGATTAGCATACATTTGCTCATATATCACTTAAATAGATAGCACTACTAGTTAAACTACTGAAATTTCTTTTAGATTTAATGCTGAAGTAAAGGTGAAGTGCAGTTGGATCTCCAATATCAGTAGATGCATACTAGTGACATGGATATCCTTCTGTCCAACGAGCACTAAGATACAGGTCATTATCACCCTTAAAGGCAACATGTTTGGGTAATATTAACAATGACTCCCAATCAACGACCATGCAAATATCACACCCATTGTTGTCAGTTTGTTTAGAGCCTGCGAACAGGCAGTCACCAAAAGGTAGTTGTATCCTCTACAAGCAAGCATATTGTGTAAGTTAGACATGGAGAAATCGAAGATTTTGAGAATTGTCATCTATGAAAATGGGTCGAAACAATGTGCAAGACCAGTCAGATTGATTTTCATTCTGTTAGTCAGCACCACAACAATCCACCAATGATTTTTGGACTACGTGACCCAATATTTATTGTTGTAACAACACCACAAGTGTACCAATCCACTTGTAGTCTTTAAAGGCTCTACTTCAAACTGTGAACATAGACTTACAACCTTATCCCCAAAGAATTGGAGAAATTCATGCACTTGTATATCTTCATGAATGCAGCGTAAATATTTATTGTTGTATTTTGATTTTAGGACGATGTACCTTGGCAATGCCATTTTCTCTATTCTCTCTTTACTTGTGAAGTACTCTCTTTTTAGCTAGTCTTTGTTTTGTGATTCGCTAGGACAACTTCCCTATGATATTTATAGTAAGCATTCAAGCATTAAAAAGTTAATTTATCCAATATGATTCACGTTGTCTTTTTTTTAATGTGTAAATGTGGAAGGAAAAAAAAATAAATAAACACGTGATTGTGGTGGACAATTAACTTTGGTGTGAACGGAAGCAATATTAAATAATAACTTTTTATCTTCTTTGTTTTTATTTAAAAAATTTATTTTCTTATCCTCTTTGTATCCACTTCAAATTTAGAACATATGTAATAATATAAATTATAAATATTTGTAGTAATCATAAATTTTTAGTTCATCTTTTTACCCTATTGTTTTCTTTTAACATTAGTAATGTACCAAAATGTGTAAGTATTTATTTTTGAGTAAAAAATTTATTTTCTTAAATAATTTAAGGCGTATTCTATTTTAAATATATGTTTTTAAACAATTTCAAACATCTTACATTAACAAAAATAATTGTTTCATAAAAAAATGTACTTATGTTCATTTTTTATTTACTTATTATGAACAATGTCATAAAAATATATCAAAAAAAATTTACAAATGAGAACTACGTTTAAACAAATACCAAATAGCCTCTTGAATGATGAAAATCAACACAAATACTTTAAAAGCACAAAGAGAAAACCAAAGATTTATCATATAATAATAATTCACTTCGGGCATCTTTATACATCAAGGAGGAACCGTCGCGACAGCAAGCCGACCATTGACCCAAAAAGGAGAAGAAGAAGAAGAAGAATAAATAATAAGCACTCCTCAAGTTGAATATGAATAAGAAGAGCTTAGAGAAAGAGTAAACTTTCACATGGGAATTTATTAAACTAATATTCTAAAACTACTTAAATCCCAAGACAAACTTGGTGAACTCACACTCCATTCTTGTTGCTTCTTCGAGAACTTATCTCCATCTAAACTCTAATAAGCATGAAGATAATATAATCTATTTATAAAATGTCAAGACTCTCTACTATTGCTCTTCCTATTTTGTTATTATAATTTTTTAACCTTAAATCTTATTATAATTTCACACTATTTCTTAATAATATTATTGCTTATTTTTATTATATTTATGATTCAATACTCTTTACGTTTATTTATTTATTATTTTTATGTATTTTCAAATATTAAAAAAAGAGAAAAAAAAAATTAATATGAAATATTAATATTGAAATAAAAAAGAATCTTAAATAATACGTGATAGATTTGTCTTTTTCACTTTGTTTGCATATGATCAAGAAATAAATATATTATAATTACGTAGGAAATAGAAATATATATATATATATAGATGATCGAGTCATATCAATATTGTGATTGTTCGATTGTTTGTATATATTGTGATCGATATGCATCCACATGTATATATATATTGTTTATATATACAAAAAGAAGGCTTTATGAAAATGTCTATGTTGCTTCATATTGTTTAAAGAACCAAGGGACTAAATACTTGTCCATTCTCATTCAAACATGTAGATATTAACAATACATTATAATATATATACTTATATATTCAAAATTTTCTTGAATTAGAAACCAAACAGAATTTTAAGTGTGACAAACATATATTGAAAATAATAAAATCACACCCATATAATATGTAAGACTAAATTTATTACATAATTTTGTTTCAACCAAATACAATTATGTATTTTGTAAAAATATATAATAAATTAAAAACCATAAAAAGAGAGAGAGAAAAATTACAATCTCAAGTGTGCTTCTTCCCTTTCACAATGCGCTTAACAAGCTGTTTAATTGGCTTTTTCTTGTGCTGATTTTTCTCACTTCTCTCTTCTTCCCTCTTCTTCTCTTCTTCCAATTCTTCCTCCAACTGCGAACAAAGCTGACCATCTTAACTCATTAATTACATCTTAATCAACCCTTTAATTACACCATCACTACCCCCTTAATCACAACCTCAAACCAACCCATTAATTAACCCCTCAAGTAAATATCAATTAAGCCATTAATTACGAATTTAATTAAATATCAAGTAATCTTTTTACCTTTAAGACACGGTTTTCGACTTCCTCAACCCTTTCAATCAGGCTACCTTTAATTCCAATCTCCATCATGACACGATCCATCGGACGGCAGTGCTTCTCCATGATCTTTGGAGAGAAATCGACGGACGATGGATGGCCTTCACTGGTCAGGGCCCCACTTGATGTAGTGGACGCAGACCAACTCTTTGGAGATGTATTGGATCCTCTAATTTCTTCTAATTGCCTCAACTGCCAAATAAACCACTTGTGTGTAATAACTTTAATTTTTTCTTTTTTTTTTTTTTTTTACAAAAATAATTTTTTATTAAAATATTTTAAAATTTATTAATGTTTTGAACAGTCTTTTGTCTGTACTTTAGTTTTAAGTACTTATTAAATTTTTTATGTTCTAATAAAAAATTTAGAGAAATATTTAAAAATTTTGAAGATAATTTATTTTAAATTTGAAATAACCCAAAAAATAATAATTTTAAAAAAAAAATAACTTATTTTGAGCACAGATGAAATTTTTCTAAATTTTTAAAATATTTAAAAATATATTAAATATGTTAATTTTTATAATTAAAAAACAAACAAAAATTAAACTTTGAAAACAGATATAAAACGTTAAAAATGAAATTAGTAAAAGATTAATTAAATAATTTACTTCAATATGTCTAATAAATATATATATATATATATTTTATCAATTATAAGACTCAAACCCACAAACCATCCAAACATAAACTTACAAGATATTGTAAGATTAATGAAAAGCAAACTTACCATAGTGTCCAACCGATCAAGTCTAGAGATAATGGGTTCTTCTGTGATCGCCATTGCCGAACAGCACCTCCTCAAAGCTGAAAGTGATGAGACTTCTAAAGGGTATAAGTTATATGAACTATATATAAGAGGGAGATTGTATGCAGACATGCTTACATGTATATCATGTGGGACACGTGTTTACAACTCCAGACTCACACGTGACGCAGAAATTCTGGAACAACCTATGACTCAACTCCTCATGATGACACGTGAGGAGATAAGACCTTTTTTATTGTTTTCATGCAGTTGATGACAAACATTGGCTCGAAGTTCGAATGAAACAAAACAGTATCGAAATTAGCAAGTCGATCCGGTGCGTTTTGATTTTATTTTCAATATTATCCAAACTGATTATCATCGATTAAGTTATTAGATAGTATATGATTTGAATTAATTCAAATTTTAATAGAAAATAAATACTAAATTTATTTAACAGGGGACTTCTAAATTTGAATACAAAAGAAACTTGGACGGGTATAATCACCCTCCACCAGCAGTATCCATAAGTTACACCTCCAAAATATTACATGAATAAACAAAATAATTTGTAAACGACTGTAAGTCTCTATATAATCTGCACATATGATGTGAATTCACATTGACACCAAAACATTTTCCAGCTTAGCTTACATTTTCTAGTTGAGACCAAAACAAATCTGTCACCTTCTTCGGCAGGCAGACCTTTTAACAGTTGATCCCACATTGCTCGACATCAGGACCGGTGACTCTAGTGGTGAATGGATCAATCCGTACCCATAACAGAGAGAAAATGGAAGCAAGGAGAATTGACCAGACGACGACAATGGTGGGTGTTCGGTTTTGTCGTCCCATTAAACCTTTGAGGAAAGGATAGAGATGGATGATCACCCAAAAGGCAAAGAACAGCTTACCAAAAAGAGGTCCCCATGACTGATAACCGCTGTTTATAGCGTAGGAAATTCCAGCGACAACTCCGACCAAGTTAATGGTGAGCAATGTTGTTGGTGGAATAAGCAGGGTAGTCCACTTGAACATATACAGCTCTGCAAAATCCCCATCTTCGTCAGATGCCTTGGAGGTGACAGTGAAGTTGGTGTCAATGCCAGCAAGAACTTTCAGAAGACCTTGGAAAACAGCAAAAAGATGTGATGAAACACCACCAATAACCCAAAACTGTTCATTTCTCCACCACTCATCAATGCCGACACCACTCCATCTCATCTCTAGAATACCAGTTGCAAAGATGGAAAGAAAGAGAGATATAAACCATATGCTCGCCAGGTTACTAATCTGCATCCACAATCAGCCAAGTAAAAAGAAGTTCAGTATGCTGCATTGAGTATTCTCGGTAAAATGATGTACAAATGGGGAATCAACAATTTCTCTGCATGTTCTAAATAGAACAAATTTCTGAAAGCAAATTAAAGTATGGCCGTTTAACATCCTATGAAAAGTAAACTACTTTATGAGAATTGTATTTTGCATTGAAAAAGTAAAACAGTTTACGAGAATTGTTTTCTGCATTCCCAGCCGGTGAGGGATTTATGACAGAACAGATTAATGCTTTATAACTCATCCTCAAAAATAGTGACGAATTTGCAAAGGAACAAGACTATACGAGGTCAAATTGTACACATCTCTGAGAAAGAGTAAACAAACCTGTGGAATAATAAATTTGTTGGTAAGCAGACAAACGGCTGGAAGCGTACAGTACAAGAGAAGAGGGATAGCAGTTATTGGATAAATGGTAGTGTTCACATAAGCAAACCTCTCGAGCCACTTCAGCCTGCCACCGTAACCATACCAGATAGGACAGTGTCGACTGAAAAGAATTTCCACAGAACCTAGAGCCCACCGAAGCACTTGGTTCAGACGATCTGAAAGATTAATAGGAGCAGATCCCTTGAAGGCTGGACGCTTGGGCATACAGTAAATTGACCGCCAGCCACGGGCATGCATCTTGAATCCTGTAAGAATATCTTCTGTAACAGAACCATAGATCCATCCAATCTGCAAAACCAAGAATTTATAAGAATGTAAAGCAATAGCAAGAGAAGAAGGTTTTTTATTAGGTCTGACATAAAACATCACAAACAGCATAACTTTAGAAAAAAAAAATTGATAAGCGTAATAATTCCTCCAACGGAAGTAAACAGAAAATTTAGTTGGGTAGTAAAACATTAAACATAAAGGGGAGAAGAATAAAACCTCGGTTCCCCACTCTGTTTTGTCCTCGTATCCACAGCTAATGACATGAATAGCCTCTTTAAGAAGAGTTTCTGGTGTTGCAGATTGAGGAACACCACCATTCTCCATAAGTGTAGAGGCAACAAAAACAGCAGACTGCCCAAACCTCTTTTCTAGGCTCATTTGCGACATCAATAAAGACTTCTCATCATCAAAGCCAGCACCTAATATTACCAACATAAAAAATGAGACACCCTTACAAAACGCATTACCTAACGTCTACATTTAATACAAAACAACTTTCCTAAAGCAATTTATGCTAACTCCATTATTATCTGTTAACTGCCTCCCTAGACAACAATAGTGCATGCTCCAACAACATATGGGCAATGCTAGGGAGACAGAACACCATCTAAATACTAGAGAAATAAAATGTCATCCAAGAATGAAAAAATTATTTGTGATCATGACATCAAATCAATCAAGGGAGCATCATACAATCTAAAGCTTAATATACTATGCATTTCATCATGACACATCACGGCCAACAAAAGTAACAACTAAATAACATCCACCCATCAAAACAAGCTTGCATCATTGTGAAAAACATGACTGCTGCTATAGCTTTATACTTGAAGGTGCAAATTACTCAAGAATTAAGGCAGCAAAAAAATTGGTTTCTCTTTAATATTTAAGCAAAATATGTATTGTATTGTAGCTAACAAAAAACACTGTATTGGCATATGCTTACCTTCCACCCCTTCTTCTATGTCCTCTAGACTAAATATCGGCACAGTGGGGTCTACATGCTTGCCAGATTTCTTCTTATCTGAGCCCTTTTTACTAGAGTTTGAACTCTTCTTCCGTGAACCACCACAGAGTGAAGATAAGAATCCTGCTTTTCTGTGCTTAGGTTTGACTGGTGGTTCATAACCATACAAGGCCGTTCTGTTGAAAACACATCCAGTACCAACATAAACTGGCCCTTGAATGCCATCCAAGCCTCTCAAGTTTATCTGAAATGCAAAAAGAAAGAGACAGATGAGTTAGTGATAGCTACTACATTTTTGGATGCCCCTGGAACGCATTACACCCACCATAAAAAGACAAATAAAAATCATTCAACGTCAGACATCACATTGGACATAGGAGTAACTTTGCCCCATAAAAGAATGCAGCACTTACATCAAAGAAGACAGTGTTGCGATTAGCATATCGATCGTTCCTATCAATACCATCAAATCTCTGTGGAAACTGAACATAACAAACATGCTTCCCAAGGTTCGGATCCATCATGAAACACATGGCTTCCCTCAACGCCTTGCTATTGTTTATGTAGTGATCACAATCAAGATTCAACAAGAAAGGTCCATTTGTAAGTACAGCAGACACACGAACCTGCATGAGAATGACATTGGCTGTTGTTATGAGATGAACCCAAAGACAGAAATTAAATTCTGTTATTTAATGTAACACTTACAAGTGCATTCATGGCACCAGCCTTCTTGTGGTGTTGAAAGCCCGGACGCTTTTCTCTAGAAACATAAACCAATCTTGGGAGCTCATTGCCCTCAGAATCGAGTCCTCCACTTTGGCCTAAGAATACCTACAATTGACAAACAATATATGTCTTACAACATAATAACACTGCTAACTGAAAGCAAAGTCCTATCTATCTACTTTGATTGCCCAGGGGAAGCAAAACTAAGAACCAATGCTTGATAGAAATAACAAGGCGCAGGCAATGCAGAAGTTTTGCACGAAATAAGAAATGATTTTGGTCTCGCACACAAGATGTCTTTACCTGGATCATTCCTGGATGGTCTCTTGTGTTATTCCCTGGCCAAGGAGTACCATCTTGCATTACCCACCCTTCTTCAGGAACTTTTTGAGCCTTGGCCACAAGCCCATTAATACGAACCTTAAATTCCTCATACTCTCTCTGCAAGCAAAGAGGAAAAAATAACATAATAAAGATTGATTAGAAATCACATACTGCACCCAAATAAATGGGTAAACAATTCTTGGCTAAACGCCCAAAGAAAAGCTCTCAAGAGAACAAGGAAATAAGCATGCTAAGCCCTCACCTTCATGGCTCTGCGATCTTTGACAAATGATGGTTGAACTTTGTCCTTCAAGTAGTCAATCTTCTGAGCAAAGTACCATTCTGGAGCCCTGGGTTCAATATTGAATTTCTTGCAAAAAGGTACCCACTTTCTAGCAAATTCTGATGTTTCAGACAATGCTTCAAATGTCAACATAGCAGCACCATCATCAGAAACATAGCAAGAGACCTTGTCCACTGGATAATCAACTGCAAGAATGGATAGCACAGTATTGGCTGTCACAAGAGGAGGTTCCTTCAATGGATCAACAGTACTGACAAAAATGTCAACTGCAGCTAATTGTGATGGTTCCCCTTCACGATCATATCTGTTCCACATACACAATAGGAGTTCAAAACTCTGAGTAGAGAATCTAATGGAAACTGCTTGAAATACATGAGAGAAAATATAACTATGGCATGATTCAAGGTCATGATAACAATTGAAGAAAAGCTTCTAACCTCAATGCAAGCCTGTCAAGATATGTCTCACGGTTTACAGGAAGCCACTTAGGGAACTGATCCAATATCCAGGATAAGGCAAACCAAATCTCACAAATGACAGATATTAACCACAAAGCATAAGCATTGGGCACTGGATTTGTTATCCGGTAGTGCAAGAAAATGGAGAGAATGATTAGTCGCAAGACGATAACCATCCTGTAAGGATTTATTCTTGAGGAAGGGATGGAAACTTTTCTTGACAAAGGCTGTCGAGCTTCATCATTCCTACAAGTCAAAGAAATTTCATAAGATTATCTTCCAAAAAAATTCATTATTACTTATTTAGCAGCAAAGAAAATTTGACATATGGTACAAAAATTCCACATTTCGACATGTACAAGCAGAAATAAAGTCAAGAGAATCAAGGATGCAGCTAAGATAGTAAACAGTTTGGTAAGTTGAATTGACTAACAGAAAGGACTACAAACAAGTTTGAATTTTAAATGATAACCACAGTCAGAAACGAAATAGCATACAAGCTAATCAGGCAGAAACTCACAATAAAGCGTCATCCACAAGTACATCAGTGCTGGCATCAATATCTCCGCCACCCCTTTCGGAGTAGCCTGGCCAGTGCTCATAGGAATAACGTTCTTGTCCTGCTTCATCTTCCAGCCATCAACTCTCTCCTTCCATGCCACATTGCCTAATCCTGGCGAACCAAACTCCCTCACTGGATCTACAACCCGTATATTAGCTGCTATTAACAGTAGCAAGAACCCAGAATCAATACCAGATAGAAGAGACATGTAAAGACAGCACATTTTAGAGTGGAAAGAAAGCAATACGTGATTGATTGACATCAGATGCATAAGGAAGATGATGGGCACGCTTCATTCCACCAGCTCCAGGGGATGCCATAGAAAGTCGTTCAGGTGATGCAGCAGATAACTCTCCTGAAACCTAAAGTTAAGAAACCACCAAACAATCAGCCCGAGTTCACTTTTAAGCCGAAACTTAATACTGCATAAACAAACTCAATCTCTTACCTCTTGGCCATTAGTAAGAAGAGGAATATGGTTGTGTGAAACCTCTTTATCATAATTTGGAGGCCCTACGTCCTCCCCTCGCCCGTATGTCATGTGCCAGCTCAACATGCGCTCTGAAATTTTTTGCTTTTGGCTCTGATTTTCTGAAGAGTAATTAAAATCACTAGCACCATCATCAGCATCAGTATCTTCTTCTCTGTCTCCAAGAATAGCAGGGCTACCTGGAAGTAACATAATAAGTGATCCATAAATCAATCACTTACTTCAAAGTATGGAAAGATACTTGGGCAATATATTCGATAAGTGTAAGGTGGTTAAGACGTAACAAAAACAAACTCATAACGGATTGGATAGTGACTTGGCAGGAAGAAAATAAAACTTTCTTCTGAATCTATGACCCTAATATAATCTATTCATTTTGCCACGAAGCCCAGAAGTTAATGGCATTTTCATTGCTTGAAACTTACAAATGAAAAACCAAACAAGTCATATATAATTAATGGAAAAAGAATATGCATAAAACTCAGGATTTACAAAACTAGAAAGATCTAAAAAACTATCCAATTACGAGGATACCTTTGTGCCTCTTGTATCTGGTTTTGCATTGAGGACAGGACTGATTCCCATCCTTCCTCTCATACTCATAGCACGGCCTGCAAACAGGAAATGCACAGACATCGCAGGCAACAAATGGTTCACCCTCTACAGTTTTGCCAACACTGTCACCACAGATCTGGCAGACTTGACCACCCAGGTTCCTCAAGGGCTTTGCCTGAGTTATAAGATATCACATTTTAACATAATTCTGAAGCACATAGAGATTCTTCATCTTTAGAAATGCAAATATGTAAACTATAACAAAGTTTTCTTTGACACTTACCCCAGTTTCTCCTTCTGATTCCATTGTTGCTCACTACTCTTTCCCGGTTGAGAACAACAGATAGAAGCGTTTATTCAGTATCAACCAGATCTATGCATTCCTAATAAAGCAAAAGACTTACGAAAATCTGTGCTTTTTCTTATTCTTCCACTTCAAAAGCAAGTTTTTCCTCAAAACAGGAAAAGTGAAAGCCAGATCTGCAGAAGAAAGTGAGAATCAAATTGTCACCTTCAACAAGCATCCACTAACTCAGAAACTTATTCATTAGAAGAGAGAAGCTCTTGATATTTATCTTCCGCTTCTTGGAAGTGTAAAAAATAAGATCAACAACTTCGACTCCTAGATCTTGAACTGACTACCACCAATCAAACAAAAGTTTAACCGATTTGGTTAACCAAGTTTCTTCCCGTTGGTGTCTCCGCAACAAACAATGAAGTGCAGTGCAAATTAACACAGAAGACCAGCCACAAATCAAGTCTTTAGCACTGAATCAGACCAGAGATAGGACATATTCTAAAAAATCAAACACAAAACAAAAACTTTTACTCTTCTATGCTAGTTCCTCTCTGACCAATCAAAAAAAAATCAGCCAAACTCGGTACGAATTAACACAATAAAATAAATTAAAAATCTCAGCCCTAACACTAATTTTAGACCGAAATCAAGGAAATTACGCATTACATTTCCCAAAAATATACGAAGAGCAGAGAAGCTCAAATACATTTCCCCGGATTTCTCCACAACCAAACAGAATGCTAACAAAATAGTCAATCAAATCCACATCAGATCCCACACCGGAAACCACAAATCAGCGAAAACGAAAATCGATTGACAAACCTCAGAAACTGAAGATCGATCCGGAAAATGACGAGAGAGTGACCCCGATTTCAAAGTAACAGCTATCCTCTGTCTACTCTCTCTATATCAAAGGACTATCAGTTTCTCTCTCTATTAATAGCTGTAAATGAATGTATGTAACGAAGATTGATAATATATATATATATATAGAGAGAGAGAGAGAGAGAGAGAGAGAGAGAGAAAGAAAGAGAATGGCTTACAAGAGACGAAAGCGACAGACCAACTAGAGAGAGGGAGAGAGAGGGAGCTTAATAGACTGAACTCCACCGACAGTGGTTTTGGAGAGGGAGAAGGAAAACAGATAATCCCCACCCAATCATTTCCTGCTGTCACTGCGTTTTATTTTATTATTTTCTTATAAATAAAATTCTAAGTATTAATTAAATTTTTATTTTATTTAATAGTTTGTAAAAATATAAAAATTATATTAACC